TCTTAATGTATTTTTAATTTCCCTAAATACTAGGGATGTTGAACACGTTTTTAGGTACTTAGCCATTTTTATTTCTTCTTTTGAGAAGTCTTTGGAGCAAGGCATGTAGGAAGAGGTGGTGTAGGAGTTGGAGGTGAGAAATGAAGGATGGATATGATCATATTTCATAGTATGCATGTATGAAATTTTCAAGGAATAAAAATGCCATTTATGGTAGTGCAGACTGGTAGGATATGCTGAAGAGGTAGAGGCAGAAAGATCCCAGATTTTTTAAATTCTCAAAAATGAACAGAGCATTTAAATCAGAATCTCTGAGGATGAAGATGCAGTTAATGTTATTTTTGAATTTTATTTATGTGTTTTTCGCAATATATATTTTTATTGAATTTTTGTGCATTTTATACAATACATCATGGATAGAGACATGGATTCTGAATCGTTAGGAAGTAGACCAGATGTTAACAGTTGCTTTGCTGTGAATAGTCAATACACAAAACCCATATTTTCCAAATATTTGAAGAATTGCTGTTGTTAATGGAAGAGAAGCAGCAAATCATTACTGCTCCTTGAAGGACCTTCGTCTTTTCAGGAAAAAGCTCTTCTAACCTCCTACTTGTGCATAAAGGAGTTCAACATAAAATGTGACCTTTTAACATGTGATCTACAACTTATACACTTTGATATTTGCCCTCATTATGCGAATCATATGACTTGTGTAGAATTAAGAATGTATAGCAGCTATCCTACACCATTCTTATTTTTCCCAAATAAGATTTGTGTCCAAGAGTTCATTTATTCTTTTCCTTTTAAAACCCTCATTTTGGGGCTGCCAATTGGAAACTAATAAGTTTTACTTATTTTTTCCCTCGGTGTACAATTTTATTGATTTTTTTTGTTTATTTCATACGATTATATTTAGATCCCCTCCCCTATTCATAGCCCCACCAGGTTTCATGCATTCAGTCATATGTGTTAAGGCCTATGGAGTCAAGCTTTCATACCTTGATGCCAGTTAATCCACTGGAGTCCAGTCAGCCTATCTGGAGTCAATCCCCTAAAGAATATCAATTCTCCTTCATCCAGCAGTAATCAGTTGCCAATAGCTCCTTACCTATGGTTTGGGCCTTCTACCCATTTCCCCAGTTCTATGCTGTGTTTTTGTCTGAATGAGGATGCATGAGTCTTATGAATGCTGACATCATTGCTGCAAGTTCATATAAGCAAGTTCCCAGTGGCCTGGAAGACTCTTGTTTCCTTATGTTCATACACAAATGCTTGCTCTTACAATCTTTATGCCCTCTCTTCTACAATGGTCCCTGAACCATGAGTGTGTGAGGTTTTATATAGGAGACCTATCCAGGGATATGGTCTCTTATTCTCTATACCTTGGTCAGTTTTGGCCTTCTGTGTGTATCACACTCTGTTGCACAGGGAAGCTTCACTGGCAAGAGTTGAGGGATGCATTATTATTCTTGCTACTCCTGTTCTGCTGTGTTCCATGAGTCTTTGGTGTAGAGGTTCCACTGTAGATGTATCACTTAGGGTTGGGCAAGTCTCAAGCATTTATTCTCTATGGGTGACCAGTTGTGGAATTCTATGATAGCCCCCAGCTGTTGCAAAAAAGATGGCGAGTGGTATGCTTGTCTATAAATACAAGCATCTATACTTAGCATGCAGTGTCTGTATCCCTGCACTGCTCCTCTCTTAGTTTCTGGATATTTGACTCCCAGCCTTCCCCTCACTCCTGGCTATGTTTGGATGAACTGATTAAATTTAGGCACAGCTATCAAGCATGAAGAGGAACAGAGAGGTGATGATAAGCCAAGAACGAAAATGCCTCCCGGCTTCTGGAAGGAGGTATTGACCTAAGTTGAACAGGGTCATTTATCCATCCCCTCTCCTGGATCTCATGCCATAAAATGAATCCCTTGAGTCCCATGCCCCCATATATATGAAAATATGTGTTGCATATGTGTTCACCTGTGTGCATGTAGTTATGTTTGCAAAATAAAAGGTGCTGGAGACCTATTTTAGAAGGGGAAAAAAAGAAATTACATTTGTCCAGGGATATGGCAGAGATAAGGTTTTCTCCAGGATCTATTACCTTTCCAACCATATGTATTCAGCTATATTATCAGTACCACACATGAGTTCCTGCCTCTTGAAAGGGCTTTAAATCCAATTAGATAGCTGTTGATTACCCCCAAGACAAAAGTGGCACTATTGTACCATTATAGTTTATTGTGATGGTCATTGTTGTGGTTATTAGGCTTTGAATCTGGGGTTGAACCATTGACTTTTCTCCCTTAGCCACTTGCATGGCATTCTCTAGAATTATGAGAGCTAGTTCTTCATTGCTCCAAGTCCTGTGTCCAAAGCATGTCCTGTCTTCCACAATAAGGTCTTACCTTCATATTCTGTCAGGTAATCAAGGATTGTTGCAATAGCCTGTGTTATTTTGGGAGTCCCTTGGACAACCCTGGACAACAACCCAAAGGGAAGTTTCTCCTGCCTTCAGGTATACATACACGCTCATATTCAGGTATTGTATTTTTTCAGTAGGTTGTTGAGTAAAATATTTCCCTCTAGTTTTTCACACCACTTAAGCTTTATCTCTTTCTTCTCTCTCTCTCCTCATCTAACCTCCCTCTTATCTTCTCAAGGTATCCTCATCTTTTCACATTTTCCCCTTGATAATAACTATCTCCTATTACTTTACTCGTTTCATGAGCTCCTTCTTCCCCTTCTCCCCCATGGTTCCTGGTATAGCCTTCCTTGTCGCTTCCTATTTGAATATCCCTATTTCCCCAGTTCCCCATTGGTAACATCTGTTTTTGCTATTCCCTCTCTCGGGGCACTTTCTTTCCCTTCACTTCTGTAGTTATTTCCATTTTCCTGTTTCCTGCAGTGCATCAGGATATATACTAACATACAAGAATTTCCTGATAAGATCCACAAATGAGGTAGACAATGTCACCTGTTTTCCTTTATAATTTTCTGCATCTTTTTGGTGTCATTGTGATGTTTGTTCTTTCATCTCTCATTTTGTTAATTTGGATTTGCTCTTTCTTTCTTTGGGTTAACTGGGCTAAGGTTCTTTCTGTCTTATCTTTTCAAAGAATCAACTCTTAGATTCATTGATTCTTTGATTGTTTTCTTTGTTTTTCTTCCATTAATTTCTCCTCTGATGCCAGGGGTTCAAACCCGTGTCCCCCAGCGAGGTGAGGATTGGGGATGAGTAAGCACGCCCCGTTCGCCAGCCCACTCCGCCCCCATTACCCGGGGACACTCAGACGCAACGGAGAGCCTAGTCAAGCTGGGGCTCATTTATTGCAAGTGTTCCAAAGCTTATAAAGACACCTGGAACTTCCCGATCCCCCCCCCCAGGGTGTATCTTAAGGATGGTCACATGCTGATCATGCACTCGTCAGCAGTGCAGAAGTATTCTTCAGACTTTTAAAACAAGCCAGGCCATGCCCCCAGTAACTTCCTTTCGAACCTATGCAAGGTGGGGCTTTTAGGTCCCCACACTCTGATTTTTGTTATTTCTTCACATCTTTTAGGTTTTGGTGTTTTTGTTCTTGCCTTCCAAGAGTCTTGAGTTGTACTAATTCATTTATTTATGTTCTTTCTGCTTTTGTAATGTAGGCACTTAGAGCTATAAACTTCCTCTTGGGACTGTTTTTAAAATGGTCCAGAGGTTTTGTTGTATCACCATTTTTATTTAATTTTAGGAAACTTTTCTATTTATTTTTAAGCTTTTACAGAAGTATGTGGGGACCTAAAGGCCCCACCTTGCATAGGTCCGAAAGGAGGTTACTGGGGCCACGGCCTGGCTTGCTTTGAAAGTCTGAAGAATACTTCCGCACTGCTGAGGAGTGCATGATCAGTGCGTGACCATCCTTAAGATACACCCTCGGCGGGAGAGGGAAAGGGGAGTTCCAGGTGACTTTATAAGCTTTGGAACACTTGCAATAAATGAGTTTCAGCTTGACTAGGCTCCCCATTGTCTCTGAGTGTCCCCGGATAATGGGGGTGGTGTGGGTTGTGAACAGCATGCTTACTCATCCCCAATCCTCACCTCACTGGGGGGCGCTGGTTCGATCCCCTGGCAAAAGTATACACTATATGTTGTGTATATCTATTTTATATATCTTACTTTATCCTCTATCCTATCAGCCCTCATTTGTAACCCAGAGACCATTCCTTCTACATTTAAATATATATATAATTTTATTTATGTATATATAAATTTTTATATATTATATTATAAAAATATACAATATATAGTAGGACTGCAAATAAAACAGAATATTTTTTCCTTCTGAAACTGGAAAGATTTACTTACTTTGATTACTTTTTATCTCGATTTTACTACAAATGACAAAATTTCATTCATTATGACTAAAACACATTCTATTCCATACAAAAAATTTCTTCCCTTTTCTCTATTTTGAGACATGAATTTTGGTTCTAAAACTTATTGTTCATAGTGCTGAAATAAACATTTATATGCAAGCTTCCCTGTGACTTGCAGTCCTTTGGGTAAATATTTAAGAGTGGCTGAGCTATGCCACATAGAAAATCAATTTTTGGCTTTTCAAGAATCCTCTATGCTGACTTACACCACTCCTGGCATAGTTTACATTCACACGAGCTGTGTATGAAAATTTTTTCACACCATTAACATACTTGATTGTGATTTGTTTTCATGTTGTTGTTTTAAGACGGGGTCTCTCTGTAGCCTCAGCTGGCCTGAAAATCATTCACTTGAAAACCAGGGTAGGGTCAACAGTCAGAAATTATGGACTTTGACTATGTGTTTTGATTTCTTCATGATATTTTTGACAGGAAAAGATCCAGCAAACTCATCCAATTTAATTGAAGACAAATTGAAGGGATTCGAGATTCTGGTATTAATGGAGAGGAATAAAAGACAGGAAGCCATGCAAGCAATATCCTCAAAGAGTTCAGACTTTCGGGTGGAGATGATTGATTTAACAACCCAAACTACAGAAATTATAGAAAGGGTCATTCAATTAGATTTTTCTGCTCTGCAGTCTCAATAGGACATTTTTAATGTCCCTGTTCCTCAAGCTATAAATAAAGGGATTCAGCATAGGGGTGACTACAGTGTACATCAGTGAGGCCACTGCACAGTTTTCAGGAGAATTTGATACAGCTGAACCAACATACACTCCAATGCTTGTTCCATAAAACAAACAAACAACCGACAGGTGAGATGCACAGGTGGAGAAGGCTTTATACCTCCCACCTGATGATGGGACTCTCATAACAGAAGAAATAATTTTACAATAAGAGAAAAGGATCCCTGAACTTGAAACTAAACCAAAAAGGACACCAACAAAATGTGTGATTATGCTTTTGGTGACCATTTCAGAACAGTCCACATTAAGAAGTTGAGAAGGGTCACAAAAAAAGTTAGAGATTTCCCTATCACTGAAGTAAGTAAATTGTAACACAATAAAATTGTGCACCTGAGAGTCCAAAAGACTAAACAAAACAGATATCAAAACTAGGAAGGCACAGAGGTGAGGGTTCATAATGACTTGGTAATGCAGGGGGTGACAGATAGCCACAAACCGGTCATAGGCCATCACAGAGAGAATCATACTATCCATACATCCGAAAATTATAAACATAGACATCTGTGTCAGACATCCCACATAGGAGATAGATCTGCTCTGAGCTTGAATGTCCCAAATCATTTTGGGGACTGTGGTAGAGATGAAACAGATGTCAGTGAAGGACAGGTTGGAGAGAAAGAAGTACATGGGGATGTGGAGGTGGGAGTCCAAGCTGACAGCAAGGATGATGAGCAGATTCCCAAGCACAGTGATCAAGTACAAGGACAGGAACACTCCAAAGAGGATGGGCTGCAGTTCTGGGTCCTCAGAGAGACTCATGAGGTGGAATTCTGAGACTACTGTTAGATTTTGCGCTTCTGTGTTGTTTGGGCACCTTTGGATAAAGAAAATTCATTCAGAAAACATGAGAAATAGTCATATAAAAGTCATTTCTAGTGAAAAGTCATTTCTCATTTGAGGTCCACAGCTTTCAGCATTGTGACAAGCCCAATAATCTAAAACATTCTGTATGGGTTTTACATTATAAATCTTTTAAAGAAACCTACTCTTGGGACTGGAAAGATGTCTCCACAATTAAGAGCACTGACTACCCTTTCAGAGTGCAGGGGTTTGAACCAGCAACCCCTGCACAGTGATGACTGGGGATGAGTAAGCACACCATTCACCAGCCCATGCCGCCCCCAGTACCGGGAATACTCAGGCGCAATGGGGAACCTAGTCAAGCAGGGACTCACTTATTTCAGGTGTTACAGAGCTTATAAAGGCATCTGGAAATCCCCCTCCCCCCTGAGGGTGTATCTTAAGGATGGTCACGCACTGATCGTGCACTCCTCAGCAGTGCAGAAGTGTCCTTCAGACTTTTAAAACAAGTCAGGCCACACCCCAGTAACTCCCTCTCGGACCTCTGCAAAGCAGGGCCTTTAGGTCCTCACAGCAGAGGACCCGGGTTTGGTTCCAAGCACCCACTTGGAGGCTAACAACTACACATAACTACAATTGCAAGGGATCCAATGCCCTCTTCTGAACTTTGCAGGCATTGCACAACATACTTACATACATGTAGACAATAAACTCATACACATAAAACAAAAATAATAAATATTTATAAAAAGAAAAAAACATTTTAAGAAGGCAGTTTAGCACTATAAAATCAAAAACATTAGAGAGCACAAGCTTAGGATCACAACAAAATATATCTATTCTTTAGGATGACAGAAAAATTATTCTAGGGCCTGGAGAGATGGCTCACCTCTTTACAGAATACCCGGTTTTGGTTCCTAGCACCCACATGGCAGCTAACAGCTGACCATAACTCCAGTTCCAGGGAATCCAATGCCCTCTCCTATCCTCTAAGGGTTTGCATGTAGGTGTGCACTTATATACACGAAGACAAACCATTAACACACATAAAATTATTTAAAAATATTCTGGTAAAAACAGAAAAACAAAAGAATGTACCATATTTTCTAAAGCATAGGTACAAATTTGTTGTTTGATCATTTATAAAGACATTATAAGTACTTTAATATGCTTTATTTTGAACACTAAATTAAACGGTTTTATAGACTCAGGAAATAATTTTATATTCCAATTTTCTCCCATGAGCTGCATTGTTTATTGGTTACCTGATTTTCTTCTTCATGAAAAAAAATTGTTTACTTAACTTTTCTTTTTCTTTCAAAAAATCCTTTCACACATAAAAGATGACTAAGGTAATACATATGCAGTTTGTTACTTTTTTTATTTTATGTGTATGAGTATATTGCCTGCATGTGCACCCAAGTTGTACAATGCCCACAGAGGTAAGAAAAGGGCATCTAATTCCCTTGGAACTGGAGTTACTGGTGGTTGTTTGCTGCTGTGTGGGTGCTAGGAGCTGAACCTGGGTCCTCTGCAAAAAGAGCCAGTGCTCTCAACCACTGAGCCATCTGTACAGCACCAGAAATTCACCTTTATTAACTAGAAATATATCACCAAATAAATGCACATGATCTCCATTTACTCAGTAAATTTTAAAGTTTTAGTTATCAATTAGAATTCAAATTAAATACATTTATTAAATTATGTCCTTATTTTTGGTAGTCTTCAGATTTTGATAAATATTTAGATGCACGTAATTGCTCACTGCTACAGACTACTAACATGGCATTAGTGTACGTTGCCATGCCAATGATAAAAATTACTAACATATTCAGAGGTGTTTCTATTTTTATAGTATTTTAAATTTCACACAATCTCACCAGAATAGAAAAAAATCCTGCTCTTGATTCTATATTATATAATGACCTATTAATACTGCTATGTTGTTTCCAATAAGAATTCTTATTTATAGTAAAAACTTTTAGTTGCTGAGGAAATTCTAAAACTTATGTTTTACTTCCAGGATTCCCAAGTGTAAGTATTACATTTTTCAGCACTATTTCCTACAATATAGATTGCAATTCCCTTGTTGCAGTTACACGACATAAACTCTAAGTCACTGTTTCATCCACTCACACTATGATTTGATTGGAAAAACAAACATGAGAAAAGTACAGGAAGTGATGGAAACACGTCTGCACAGTTTCTCATTTTTAAATACATTTTCTTCAGTTTTATTGCATGTGTCAAACTGTACCCATGTCATGCAATGCCCACAGAGGTCAGAAGAGGGTGTCAGATCCCCTGGAACTGGAATTAAAGACAATTGTTAGCCACCATGTGGGTGCTGGAATAGAACCCAGGTCCTCTGCAAGAGCAGCCAGTGCTCTTAACTGCTAAGCCATCTCTCCAGCCCATTTTTGTAAATTGTGAGCTCTAATAGACTTCAGCAAGAACTTTCAAAGCCAGGTGTGGTGGTACACGCTTATATTCTTAGGACATGGGAGACTGAGAAAGGAAGACTGTCATTATGCCCCTCTCTCAACCCAACTTCTTTCATATCCAAATAAAGTTATTTTGTTTCACTTTTTTTGTGTGTATGAGTACTTGTCTGCATGTCTGTATGAAAACCACTACCTGCAGTGCCTGCAGAGGTCAGAAGAGTGCACTGGATTCACTAGAACTAGAGTTGCAGGCAGTCATTAACTGCCATGTAGGGGCTAGGATCCAAACCTGGGTCCTCTGCAAGAGCAGTCAGTGCTCGTAGCTGCTGAGCCATCTCTTCAACCCCACTTCTAATGAACTTTCTAAGAATAAAATTTGGACTTTTAAGTTGCATAGGCTGTTGTTCATTACTAATGTTTATCAATATATTCATCTGGGAATATATTTTAAATGTCTAGCTGACTGCACATTTTTCATAACCTATTGAATTAGAATACTAGTATTTGAAGTTCTTGATATACCTTCCTTAACTCCAAGGATGCAAGCCATTGGTTTTCTGATATTTAAAAAAAAACAATAACATTAACTTGCTACTGCTATCAATAGTATTCATTGCTCATATTACAAAATCATGATTTAATAATGTGTTCTTAGGAAATATTATTTCATATACTTGGAACTTTCCTATAAAATTTGACTTAATAGTTAACTCTGAATGAATACATTCACCTGCTGAGGAGAAAATACTACAGGAATTTGGGGCTATATTTTCTCATTACTATCTTCAAGCCAGTATTTATGTATCATAAACAGTTTTTCTTTTAAATGTTTCCTTAGTACACACCCAAAACTTGTCTAAGTTGTATATAACACAACTTTTATTATCCCCGAACAGTACCAATCCCATTGTTTAATGGTTTTAAGTTATCTGACATTAGTGCATCAGCTTCAGAGGTTTGGCAAGATGCTCAGCTTTTCCTGAGGGAAAGGAGAAAAGATGTGATCTAATTTCTCCTCTCACTATGAAAAAAATCTTTTAAATTCTTTCTCTCTCACTCTCACTCTCACTCTCTCTTGCCCCATCTCCCTCCTTGTGTGTGTGTGTGTGTGTGTGTGTGTGTGTGCTTGCACATGCAGAGAAGGATGTTAGATTCTCTCTCTCTCTCTCTCTCTCTCTCTCTCTCTCTCTCTCTCTCTTGAGTCTCTCACCAAACTCAGATTTGGACTGGTGGCCAGCAAGTCTCTTCTTCTGTTTCAACCTCCCAACTTTAGAGGTGAATACTGACACTCCAGACTTTTTACATGGATATTGTTTATTGAACTCAGGTCCTCATGCTTGTACAATGAGTGATCTTAACCACTGAGGAAGTTCCTCAGTCCTTTTTAAAAATTGTGTCTTTCTATAATATAATATAACAACATAACATAATTAATACAATATAATATAATATAATATAGTATAATATAATATAATATAGGATTATGTATGGTAATTGCTGTTCTTCCAAAATTGGAGCATGTTCGGTTTTACTAGTAATTACCTATGTTGATATCCAAATTAAATATTAATAACTTGTCACTTATATTCTGAATAGATGCCATGAAACTATCCTTAAATCCCTTTACAATGAATCCTTCTTGACAACACGCCAATACATTTCATCTTGCAGGAGAAATATTTCTTCTTTGCTTCAGAAGAGCAGAGAGTGACATGGAATATGAGTCAGGAAATAAGCAGATTAGTCCCATGTCATTGTTCTGCTACTATATGCTGAATTTGTATAAATCTGACTGTTTCTCTAATCTCATCTGCTTGGTGGAAATATGACACAGTTCGTATGGCCCTAAGGATAGATCATTAGATAGGTCTATTAGATAGATCTTTAGATTAAACTATGTCTAAGAATGAGTTCACATACTGTTTAAGGGAAATAAATTTCAAGATTTAATTTGAAGATATACAGCATCTTCAAATATCTACAGAGGGTATATAAATTCAAAATAAACAGGCAGTAGACAAAAATAAAATAAAACCAAATAGAATGCATACCTCATTCCAAGTTTACCTATACCTTCTATTTCTGAATATTTTTATAACCATAAAAATCTCTCTAATATTCTGAGTAAGTAAATATTGTAGATATTTCTTAAGATAAGAACTATACTTTATTTTGTTTCTACTGTTGTGGGATGTTTTTAAGGGGATGAAAATGTAAGCTTAGAAAATAAAGAAGCCAATGTGTTGAAGTCACACTGATTATGGGCAAGATTTATGAAACAAGGAAAAATTTATTTAATGTTTAATGTATAACTTCTGATACCTTTTTTGTGTCTAACACAATATAGGCTTTGGGGAATCAGACAGGAAAGAGGTGCAATTATTACCTTCCAACCATAGAATATTCATATACCCATACAAATAAGTGGAATGTTTCACTCCATAAATAGCTAAGTAGTAATTTTCAGTCACAGGATACTGAATTTGAGTTTTATGAATATTAACGTTATCATCTTTCTCAAAAATATTTTATTTCTTATTTTATGTTTATGAGTTTATTCTGTGCATGTAAGTACACTAGTGTCATGTAATCCCTGTGGAGGTCAGAAAAGGACTGCAGAGATGGCTAAGTGGTTAAGAGCACTTCTGCTCTTGCAGAAGACCCAGGTTTCATTCCCAGTAACCACATGGCAATGGACAAAAGTCTGTAATTCCAGTTCCAGAGGATCTGACCCTTCTGACCTCCACAGGCACTGTAGGGCACAGGTGCACTTGCATACATGCAGCAGTATACTCATGGACAAAAATTAAAATAATAAAATATTTTTAAATGATTTACTACTTGTACACTTAAATCTTATGAAATAGCATTATTATTAATAGGGTACAAACTTAGTACAACTACATTAAATCTGTTCCTGAATTTCTGTTATGCATTTAAAAATACTGTATTGTTTCTTAACAGAACTGAGGGTTAATACCTTTTTTGTTTATTAGTGCAGAGGTGTAGAGATTATACCCTTATGGGTTTCTAAAATATCTTTTAAAACAATATCCATGGTGGTACACATCTTTAATTCCTGCACTTGGGAGACAAATGCAGGCAGGTCTCTGTGAAATCAAGGTCAGCCTTGTCTACATAGTGAGTTGCAGGCCAGCTGGGGCTACAGGGAGAGCTGTCTCAAAAACAAAAAAATCCAATCTCTTAACTGAAATGAAATTAAAGCCTGACCTATTTCTCCTCTTAAGTTCCAGTAGGATATTACAGGAATGAAGGGGGATAGATTCAATAGTATCCTGAAGTCAGTGGGCAAAAGAGATCATTCTTTAATTACTGACTCAATATGTTATGTCCTCTGCCTGTGATCTTTGGCTATCCTTCCTGAAGTGGAAGCAGTTAGTGTATCTCAATGCTCTACACTGTGACCTACCAGGAATACCCTAGGTGAAAAGAGCACAAGAAACACGTTCTTTTTTTCCTTTGGAGTCACAGGAAATTAAACACCTAAGTGGTTATTATGGAAAGTAACCTAGAAAGACTCATCAGGAAAAATATCCCTTATCAATACTCAGATAATCCACTTCAAGCATGACTTCCTACACTTTTACTTAATACCTTGATGCATCATGAATATGAGGATGCACTTTTTGTTTTCACAACCTGAAGCAAGCATTTTCTAGACCTTTAGGCAAATGAAGGAAAACAAGCTACCTAGAACAGGCTGGTCAGGTTCTGGTACTCAGAAATCATTCAACAATAGCTCATGAGGCTGTGGCTGCTGTCTTCCTGTACCTCTTGTTATTTTTTTTCCAATTTTTGTAATAGGACTTTTAAGGAAACAATTTTGTGGACACATCTGATCATCTGATATCTGTGGGGAGTAGACGTGATCTTATGGTTACTTTACTCCTCATTTATCTCACATGCATAATTCTGAGAGAGTACTTAGGAAACAGGGACTCATTTTAGCTTCCATGTGTCAGATGTCGAAGGGAAATATAATCTATGTGGGAAGAAAACAAACAGATTGATTTTTCTAGGAGCCTTCACACAGCACAGAACATAAGTTTCGTACTCATTGTATCATAAATTGTATAGGTCATTCCCTTCTCATTATGTTTTCACTGATGGTGAGAAGTCAATGTTTCCAGTGGTTCTTTTTCTATGCCCCATCTCCGTCAATACTCACTGGTTTAAGCTGTTTCTCTTTTGGGTCATGTTCAAGGACTGTAGATCCAAAGTAACTAAACTGCCTTGTGCCCATAGAAGGCTCCAGATCCTTTCCCAGGCTTGATATGAGCACAGTGTGAAATAATCTGCTGATGCAGGCAGCTTTAAGAGGAGCAAACAGTGCTGTGTTGCCACCGGACTTGAACCTTGAACTGGAAACACAGGCTAATTGTTTACTGTGTTAGCACTGTGGAGACTAAATGCCCAGAGCTAATCATTACACAAATTGGTTCAAGTTATCACAGTCTCTATGTTGTTCCTAATATTGGGAGTGGAAAACAAGAAGAGCAAAAAATTAATAAAACTTTTGACTTTTCCTTTACTCAAGGGAAACTCTAGTTATAATTCAATGGATTTGTCTAGTTTTATTCATTCTTTTAAAAAACATTGCCTAAAAACATTTTTCATTAATTTTTAATGTTAGCATCAAATATAAATGAATTTTGTATTATTATACAAACTTTGTTTCTTTTATAAAAGTTTTATTTTTTATACGTGTGTGTCTGTGTGTGTGTCTGTGTGTGTGTGTTTTGCCTACATGTATATATGTGTCCTTGTGCTTGCATTGTGCCCTCAGGGGCCAAAAGGCAGTGTTTGATCCCCTGGAATTGTAGCCACAGATGGTTGTGAACCACAATGTAGTTGCAGAGAACAGAACCTGGGACCCTGTAACAGCAGCAACTGCTCTTAAATGCTGAGCCTTATTTCCAGCCCCTACACTTCATTATTTTTATAATTGAATTTAATTTTTTGAAAACTCAGATATTTCATATAAAATTTATTTATTTTGATCATATTTAGATCCCTTCCCCTATCTGCACCCCTTTACTCTACTTACCCTACCCAAATATGTGTGTGCATATGTATGTATATGTATATGTATATGTATATGTATATGTATATGTATATTACAGCCTATGAAGTCAAATTTGTGTACCCAAATGTCCTTCTGTGTGGGTTCATCCATTGGAGCCTGGTCAATCTACCAAGAGTCTCACCCTTAAACTGGACTGATTCTCCTTCCAGCAACCCCCAGTAACCAAAAATTCCTGAGGTGGAATTGGAGATTCTTACCAATATCTACATGTCTATGCTAGAATTTTGTCTGGTTTGAGCTTACATGGAACTTGTGCATACTGTCACCAATGCTGTGAGTTCACATGAGTGACTGACCAGCTGCCTGGAAAATTTTTCCCTGTAGTCTTCTATTGCTCTGGCTCTTACATTCTACCTCTTCTTCTCAATGATCCCTGAGCACTGGGAGACAGAATTTTGATATAGGTGTTATTCAGGGATAAGCAGTTTTACAGTCCCTTACTTTCTACACATTGGTCAGTTGTGGAGCTCCATATTAATAACCATCTGTAACATGAGGAAGCTTCTCATGAAAGAGGAATTAATCTACTGGTGTAACAATAAGCCATTAGGAATCATTTTAATACTATGCCTATTTAGCAGAATAATAGTACTGGGATTTCCCCTAAAGCTTGTGACTAACTTGCCTCAGATCTGGGCTTCATATCACTGTTAGGTATAGGCTCCATGCTAGGAGGCTGACCTTAAATCAAATTAGAAAATGGGTACTTATTCCCATAATACCCATGACATTATTGCACTACTGAACATATCTTATAAGGCTATTTGTTGTTATAGCTCACAAGATTCCCAGCTGGGTAAGGTCAATATTTAATTTTCTCTGACGTAGCAGGCTTAGCAGCTTCTAGCACTATGAAAGTTAGCCAGTAGAGATGAGGCTTTAAATTCAGCACCAGCTTGTTTTCCCCTTGATTGTTCTACAGCTCATGTATGTATTGTCTTCAGTACTAGGGTCTTAACATAAAGTTTTTGTAAGTAACCAAGACCAGGGGCAGTAGCTAATATTACTAGAGGGTCTATGGGACTCCTAGTCAACAGCTTCAAAAGACAAGGTTCATTCTTGGCATTGGGTTTTTACTTTGATAGTCTATTGTGTCTAGTAGGGGTTCTGTCCCCTTGTTATTAGGTAACTCCTTTTATTTTTGTTTATTTATTTAGTCTTTTTGAGACAGGGTCTTCCTGTAGCCCCAGCTGTCCTGGAACTTCATCTCTTTTTATAATGAATATGTGTATACTTTAGAAGAAGTTCTATGGTGGTAACTTTCTGTATGGCTTTTTCTAAATGCCTTTATTGTTAGGTATCCTTCCCCACAGTCCCTCTTCTGCCCTGCCCTCCCATTCCCCACCTGACTTACCCTTCTTACTCTTTTCCCCTTTATATCATTGTGCCTGCAGAGGTAACAGGCCACATGGGAGAACTTACTATTATTTTTTCTGCTGTAAGGATATTATGTTAAACCAATTCTTGATGACTTGTTATTAAACCAACTCTTAATGACCCATATATTAGAGTACCTCTCAACTCTCACCAGAGAAGTTTCTTCTTGTAGCAGATGGCAATTCACAAAGATCCAGAACTAGACAGTGTGCAGAGACTACACTGAGGAGTGCCCATCCCTATTTCACTTTCCTCTCAAGGCTCAGGGATCAGTGTGGAAGAAGGAGCATAAAGATTTTAGTAAACATATAGGAGCCCTGTCCTACACTCTGCAGTCTGTGGTTCATGAACACAAGGAAGCAGAGGTTTTCAGGCCACTGGAAGCTTACATGTGTGAACCTGTGGCAATGGTGGCATCAAGCACAGGACACATGTCAACTCAATTAAACAAGGGCCAAAGGGGAGGAGAGAAATGGGCTGCAGGACAGCATTAGACTGAGAACTGTTGGAGATTGATTGCTGCTGGTGAGGGAAAATATGATTTACTTACGATCTCTGGATGGACTGACTAAACTCCAGTGGATGAATTTACACTAAAGGACATCTGAGTACAAATGCTTGAATGGATACGACTTAACAGGTATGGCAGAATACATGAGGTCTGGTGGGGGGATGGAGGAGGCATGAATGGGCAAGGGGGTCTAAATTTGCTTAAGAACTGTTGAATGAAATTACCAAAGCTCAAAACAAATAATAAAAAAGGATTTTTAGGAACCAGATGTGATGGATAAATACAAATGAATCATGTTGTCCGAATACAACAAGGCAAGTACATGTCTGAACTCACAGTGCTTGTGACAGCAGGCTCAAGACATGCATAAGCCTAATCCAGACAAAACCCCAGAACACAGAGAAGTGGGCAAAAATTGTGCAGTATAGCGGAGGAACAATTGACAATTTATAGCTGCTTAGATAGAAAAGAGTCAGTTTGCCTTAAAGGTATGAAGCTGGGTGAGTGGATCAGGCTCCAGGGGATGAATGCACACAAAAAAGCATCTAGGGAACACAAATTAAATTTGCTAGGCCTTCAAAAATATTATATGACAGGAAGTGAGATGGTAGGAATGTGGGGATGGATCTGAGAGATAGAAAAGGGGGTCTATATATGATAAAAATAGTAGATGACAGAAAGCAAGGAGGTAGAGAAGTAGGGATGGATCTTAGAAATCAGAAGGGGGTTTTGTATGAAATTTTCAAACAATCAAAAAATATTTTTATTAAAAAGGTATTTTGCTTGCATTCCTCACATATGAGTACAAAAACCCTCCAAAACCTGGACAAGGGGTCTGACTCTTTTATTCATGGGTCAGTCCCACTAGTGTCAAATTAAACTTCCTCTCCTCACCTGAAAGAAAAAGGGTTCAACCTCACTACCCATTAAAGAAATACAAACTAAAACTAAATAGATATTCCTATTCAACACAGTTAGGGTAGCGATAAATAAGAAAGCCCTTATCAGGCAAGATTGTGAACAAAATGGAAACTTAATACAGCACTAGTGGGAACGTAAACTATACCAGCAACTAGGGGCGTCAGTATAGATTTTTCTCAAAAAAATTAAAAGTCAGCCTTACATATATGGCCTACTTATACCACTCCTAGTTATACCCAAACGACTCCAACTCATCATATCAGAATCATATTTGCATATCAATGTTTGTTGCAACACTATTCACAATATCTAAGTTTGGAACCAAACTAGATCTCCAAAATTAGAAGAATGGGTAAGAAAATTTGTTACATGTACACAATGGGATGTTTTACATCTGTAATGAATAAAGAGTGTTTAATTTTCATGAAAACACATTCAACTGGAGATAATCATATTCAGGAAATTATGCCAGTTTCTCAAAGACAAACATGTTTTCTATCATTTTTGGTTCCTAGATTTTATGTGGATTTCTACAACTCCTATGTGTATATATGACATTAAACAGAAGCAAATGTCTCTAGGGTAACAATAGATAACTAACACGAGGGAGTGAGGAAGAAAATGGAGCATGGGTCGATCAGAGGAATATACTCAACAAGAAAATATAATAACACATTTCTGACTGCCTCTCTTCAGAGATTCCTCTTCAGATGGGTCTATTTATGAAAATTTTGAAGTTTGCAACCCACCCATCTCTGTCTGTGCAGCATATCCTACCACTATACACTACCACGACCAGCTTTATTTTACTCTTTCAGAATATCATACATGTATATTAGGAAATATGATCATATCCAAACTTCATTTCCTGCCTCCAACTCCTCCTAGATCTGCTCCCCTTCACATTCCCCTCACAACTTCATGCCCTCTTCTTTTATTTTTTGACAGGGTCTCTCTGTAGCCCCAGCTGGCCTGTAGACTAGTCTGCCCACAATCTCACAGAGATCTGCCTCTAGAATGCTGGGATTAAAAGTGTGTTTCATTGTAACTGGCTCGTGATCTTTTATTAAGTAAGTCACTAAGTACAGATGGAAATGCCTGTATGTACAAGAGTATGAAACCATCCACAGGCTCATAGGAAACCTACCAGTTGTTACCTCAAAAAGAAATTATTCTACTTCCCCAGAAGCTATCAACTGCCAATAGCTCTTCAGTTATTGGTGGAACCTTGTGAACTTCTCCTCTATCCATTCTGGAATTTTTTCTAGCTTGATCTTGTGTAGGTCTTCTGCAGGTAATTAATGCTATGTGACATCATGAGTTCAATAACTATGTCATGTGCAGAAGAAAGTATGTCAAGG